AAAAAAAGAAGAAAAGAAACGCTTCGGTGCTAATAGTACTCATTTTTCAATATAACTTTTAATTTTTTTCTCATCCCTTTCCTTCTTTTTCATTATATTTCGCGAGAAACTTTCATATCAATACTATTGACAGCCATTCATTAAAATAAAACATTTGTTTCATTTTAATGAGAGAATTTTCTTTCACTAATAATGAAATATTTGTTTTCATTTTAATCGAAAATTTTTTTCTTCAAATAATTAAGCAATTGTTTGATTTCAAATAATGAAATACTTTGCTTATTATTTAAAAAACATACGTCAATGAATAACTTTTTCTTCTTCTTATCTTTTCTAATTTATATTTTGTTTGATGAGATTTCAAGTTTTTATAAATAAAATGATAACATATTGGTATACGTATATATATATGTACGTGTGTGCATGTATTATGCATATGTGGGTGTATGTGTGGGTGTACGTGTGTGTGTGTGTGTATGCATGGGTGTTTGTGCATGCATGTGTGGTGTGCATGTGCATGCATCTATGTGTAGGTGTATGTGTGCGTATGTATGGATGCTTGTGCATGCATGTGTGGTGTGTATGTGCATGCATCAATGTGTGGGTGTATGTGTGCGTCTGTATGGATGTGTCTGCATGTATGTATGGTTGTGTATGTGTATGTGTATATATGTATGTGTATGTGTGTATGTGTAGGTATGTTATTTATATACATATATATATGTTAACTTAAAAGTTATTCGAAAAACGAAAATTTTTCATTCTAAAGATCTATTTTATCTTTTATTTTTCATTTTAGTTTTGTTATTTTAAACATTTATTTGATCATTTTGGACATTTATATTATATCGTATAATTATATATATTATATCATTATCATTATTATAATTATCTCATGGTGATTCATTAAAATATAGTAACGCATTCATTTTAATTTTCTCTTATTTTTTTGACATAATGTAAACGATGAGATAATTATAATAATGATAATGATGATTGATGATACTGATGACGGTAATGATGACAATGATAATGATTTGGCATATTGTAAACGATGAGATAATTATGATAATGATAATGATATTAACAATGATGATGATGATGATGATGATGATGATGATAATGATAATGACAATGGTGAAAGCGGTGATGATGATGATGATGAAAAAGATGATGGTATTGTGATAATGATAATAATGAATGATGATACTGATGATGGTAATGATGATGATAGTGATGATGATAATAATGATGATAATGAATATGGTTGGTATTCTGTTGAAAGTTTTTTTGAATTAGTATTCATTTAAATTATGCTTATTTTATTGGAATATTTTAAAAGAAAGTAAGCTGGGAAATAAATCAATCGAATAATTTCCCTTTACTATCTCAATGTGAACGGAATAGGAAAGCGAAAAAAGAATTAAAAAATGAAATTTCAATAGGTTGAAGTTATAATAATAATAATAATAATACGTTGAAAAGGTATGAAAGAAAAAGGAGGATAAAAATTGTGAAAGACTAAAATGGCCCATTAAAATATTTTATATTGTATAAAGCATTCATTGCAGTCATATAAAACAATCAATTATAAAATGCAGCAAAATTTTTATTTAAATATGCTAAAAAATTTTTATAACAGAGAGAGAGAGAGAGAGAGAGAGGGAGGGAGAGAGAGAGAGATTAAGGTATAAATACAAAAAAAAGGGATAAAAATGAAAAAATAGAAATGAAATAAATGGAAAAAAGTGAAAGGAAAAGTATAAAAGTATTTGTCGTTCCCTTTTTTTTTCAATTTCATTTCTATTTGTTAACAAATGGAATGTCTTTAATGATCGTTTTGCTATATTATTTTAGTTATTTTAACTGTTAATTTTAATCAATACTTATCAATTCTTTCTTTTTTTGTTATCATTAATTTAAGCTTCTTATCATCAACGATAATTTAGGCCATTTCAACGAACCTTAATTTAATAATAATAAATAATTCAGAAATAAAAAAAATAAAATAATAAATAGTTAAAGTAAATAATTTTGATTAGGGTTAATTATTGGTTATGAAAATTTCCAAAAAATTATGACCAATTCTTAATATTTTTAAAAATTACAATTTTAACTTCATATTAATAAAAAACTCAACAATTCAATAATAATTTAACTCATTAGATAAAAAACTCAATAATTCAATTATAATTAAGGCAATAAACAATTGAATAATTATGATTGCTAATTAAATAGTCTAACTATAATTATTGTCGAAATAATTCAATAGCAAAAGGAAAAAAACCATAATTTACCAACAATTTATTAGCAAAAAGAAAAAGAAAAGAAAATGCTAAATTAACCATAAGCAAATGATAGTGCCAGTATTTTCATAGTCATTAAAATTTAAATTAACATTTAAAAAAAAAAAAAGAACATAAAAAAATTTTCCGACAAATTTCAGTTCAAAAGAATATTTTCAAATAGCATCAAAAGCAATGAGCTCTTCTTATTTTACATCATAATGCGATTAATGTTCAAATTTTCAACGAACTTCAATTTAATATTAATAAATAACTTAGAGGTTGGTTGATTATGAAAATTTCGAGAAGTTATATTCAATTCTGAATATTTTTTGAAAATTACAATTTCAATTTCATTTTAATAAAAAACTGTTTAGGATATTTCAACAGTATCATCTTATAGTATCGGATAAATTTCCAACAAATAGTTAAAAGTAGAAAAAAAAAATGAAAAATGTCACAACAAGATAATAATTGTAATCATTCAACAAAATATTCCTTCTTAATTGAAATACAATTGAAATTTAATTACGTATTGTTTTATTTTCTGTTAAACTGTTAAAATTACCATTTCCAACAGTATCAGCAACAATAGATGTTATTGATCGTCGAAAAAAATGTAGTAAATAAGTAAGATATCATTTGTTACAATAATACAAGATTGCTATCATTTAACAAAATATTCCTTCTCAATTGAAATTCTTTAAATACGTATTATTTTATTTTCAATTAATTAACTGTTAAAATTACCATTTCCAATAGTATCAGCAACAATCGATGTTATTGGTCGTCGAAAAAATGCAGTAAATAAGTAAAATATCATTTATCTCTTTTTCCATCCAACTTTTTTTACTTAAATTTTTCATTTTTTTTCATTTCCTTCTTTTGTTTTCCAATTTTTCCAGCGAAATAAATAAGTGCAATGAAGTTTTATAAAAAAAACGAAATTGAAATGAAATCATTACATATATTTCAAAGAGGAAAAGTTTTTAAAGGGAAAAATGTAAAATGATATCGATGAATATATATTATATTCATTTTTCATCTTCATGAGAAGCTCATTTCATTCACTTCTAATATTTGCAAATGATAATTTAGAATTTTATAATATTTCTAAGAAATATTTTGCAATGGGAAAATTCTAAAAATGAAAATCAATAAAAAGGAAAGAAAACTAATTTAGAATTCTAAATTATCATCAATTATATTAGGTATAATTCATCGCTCTCTCCAAAATCTAAGAGAAAAGAAGACGAATAATTTAAAGATAGCAAAATTAAAATAAACAAAATGAAAAATTATGCTATCAAAGAAGAAGAGAAAAAGAAAGAAAATTATGAAATAAATAAAGTTTTAAAAAATGGTTAGAAAAAAAGAATTTTAATTTAAGAAAAATAACTATCACGTTTACTATTTTATTTTACGCCACATATATATTTATATATTTCGATGAATTAATTATTTTAAATTTTGAAAATGCTAAAATGTAATTATAATGGAAAATGCATAAAGCCAACTTGTATTGTCTTATATGTGCATATTTTTTAACTTATACAAGTGAAAGAATAACATCATTAGTGAACAGTTATTCAAAGTAATTCCTAATGATTTATTTTGTTCTTATATATTTTTAAATTTCATAGATTCTAAGCGATTTAAAAATTTGGAAAATTTTATAATATATACAAATCATTTTTTTTGTTCTTCCTAATAAAATTGCAAACTATAACAGATTGAAATTTAAGGTTGAAATTGTAAGTTGAAATTTAATAAAAATAATTGCAAACCATAGCCATAAGAAGGGAGCGATTAATTGAATGATGATTAATTAAATCGAAACAAAATCAAATACTCAAATTTCACTAGTAAAGCAACATTTTTACTTATCAGAGTTATCAAGCGAGTATACTTATCATCTTCAGCCATATTTAGGTGAATAAACATCATTAGCAGTATATATACGCATAGATTTAAAATCTAAACAGTTGAATCCAATGTTGTTCATCCCAACAACATATCCAGAGACGTTGCATTAAAGGACCGTGTTAAATTGCATGTACGTGATGGTAATCGTTGCTTTGTTCATATGTCTCCATGAGGGGTTAGGTGATTGTTAGGATTAGTTGGTTTTTGGGAAGCAATGGAACAATTTCAGGTTAAAGAATTTGGAATATCAATCATGCTGAATATAAATGGAAAAGCGTGGCGAAGATTGAGATGAGTTGTAAGATGTTGTAAAATATAATGGTGTGACAAATTAAGAATGAAGGAAAAACGTTGTTCGATTAAGAAGGAGCAATAGAGATTGATAAGAATTATGTGGCATAATATTATGATATATGCGAAATATAAGAAGTAAAAGACAGCTGAAAATGAAAGAAGACCTGAGAGTATAATGTTGATAAGACAAAATTATTTAGAAGAAATTGTAAAATTACGAAAATTTTATAAGCTTGTTTGAACATTTGAAGTATGCTTGTATATATGCAGTTCAATTAGCCGATTGTAGGATTGAGAGTTTTTGCTATGTTTCTTTTAGGATATGATCTGATTTAAAAAATTGTCAAGTTTTTTAGAAGTGAATTTCATTATATTATATCTGAAGCAAAGACAGTAATGCTTATCTGTTTCTTTTTTTCATAATAATGTAGTTGTCGATTTTAGATCACGATAGTATACTGTACGGTACAAGTATTGCACTAATCGAACGACAATATGGGCTTCCGCCCAACATTTCAACATCACAATGGGAAGCAAACATATTGCGAAGTTGGAGATAAATGTCTTTCTCGAGTACCATATGCTTCGATCATTGCAACTTCTATGTGTGGTATTGGTGTAATTCTTTTTACACTTGTTATGACATGGGCATTCAACGCATCCGTAGAGCAAGTTCGTCGAATGCTGAATGTGGAGAACATACCATGGCTTGCTAAAGTGATGCATTCGATCATAATTTGTTTAGCGTCAAAAAAGTCCACTTTTGGAATATCTCTTCTATAGGCATTTCAAGTTTATCCGTTATATAAAATAATTCAAGGACATCTTCATATTTTCAAGTTTTTAATATTATTTTATATTAAGAACAATGGCATCTAGATTTGGTGTATTGGTTTCAAGCCTAAAAATAATCCTAGCTTTACCATGGGATTTAGTTGTAAATTAAAACATTCCTGTTCTCATACCATTCCGTTCTTATATCACTAGTAAATATTTCATATATTTGCATTTCACTCTTTTTTCTACTTGCAGTTGCAAGTACTATTTGTTTGTGTTGCGGTATTGATGGCAATAGCGGCTCTTATACTGCTCGTCATTGCTGCCATGAGTACGGGTTCCACAAGAAAAGAGCTTTATAGGTATGCATCTCATGCGTTTTTGTGTCTTTCTTTATTTCATAGATTTTCCATTTCGACTGTAGTTTATTTTCGCACTCTACGGAATAGTGAACACCCCCCTAATATTACAAATTACTGGGATATCTACTGGACTTTATTATATAGTTAATTCAAAATCTCGTTTTCAGAGGGGTGCGTGGTCGTATGGGAGGAAAATTGGCAAATGCATTTGCATTGATAACTGCATATTTGTTAAATATGTGCTGGCTTGTTTGTTTTGCAATTGTGGTTGTTCTCTGTTTTGTGTATTACATATTTACCTTCCTCTGTTCTTCTATATCATTCAACGATTCCGATTGTCTTGATTTTTCACTCTTTCAACCGTTTATTCAGCAAATTTCCAAGAATGCAAGTTTTTTTTGCTTTATCTTTTTTTAAGTTAAGAAAAAATCAGTTGTGGACGAGTTATTTGAAAATATTATACACTGAGAAAAACGCAAAGAAACATGTATTGCGGAATTATTAATCTACTAGTTAGTTGAACTAAAGCGACTGATGCAAACAAATTAAGCAGTGCGCTGGGATGAATGTAGTGCAGGACAAAAATCCGAATTACATATTAGACTAAGGTTCTGGCTTGTGTTGCTTTTTCTCTTCAAAGAAGAAAAAATTTGTTCTTCAGTTTGAGATTAAGTTTCTGGTGAATATATTTAGTACTTTTTCTTTTTTAGTCTTTGAAGCTTTGTGGCGGCGATGTGCAGCAATTCTGTGCTCTTTCATGGAGTGCTTTTGCATGGTATTTGGTTAGTTTGATTTCATGTTTAATAGTTATCAAAGGACTGGAACATTTTATGATATGCAGTGCGGCAAACTATGCTCATATCAGCAGTGGATTGAAATATCTCGAGTTGAGAGAGGTAATTTCTGATTGGGCACTTACATTGAAATAATAATTATTATTAATATTATAATAATTAATAATAATTATTATTGTTTATTATTTATTGCTTTTTATCATTTATTATTTACCATTATTTATTATTTATTAATTATTGATTATCATTATCAGTTGCCATTATTGTTACTATTATTATTATTACTACTGTTATTATTATTATTGTAATTATTATCAGCTATGATTTTTTATTTCTGATGATGAGAGCATCAGTCCAAAATGGAGTAAAAAACGGTCTGGATTATGTTAAATTTAGACCTTATTCAAATATGGTATGGGTTTTCATCATTGAAAAACCATTGCCGATGATAATTTTTGTTGAATTTTTTTAAAACATTTTTTCTACTGTTACGAAAGATTCTAAAGGAAGAAAGTATACTTCAAACACTTTAGTAATCTATGATCAAACACTTTAGTAATCTAGTTTACTACGGAACATATTTCATGATATTGAGTATGTTTTAATAAAATATACTGACATTTAGTTTCCAGCTGCTACTGTCGGGTGATGGTGATGCAGTTAAAGCTGATTTACGAACGTCAGATTACCAAATGCAACCAGGATTTGGAAATATTTCGCCAAGAGATTATGGTCCTCTCAAGTCATGCTTGGCCTAAAAATTTGTATTCTTATTATTTTCACCTTCCACAACGTACAATCCGATCATGATAATTTACTAATAATGAGCCATGTGGTTCTCACTTAATGTGTTGGAGAAGGTTAAGGGAGAAAAAAAGGCTAATTTCATTTTAGAAATCCTAGAGTATAAGTTGACTATCCACCCTTTGTCGAAGTATGTTTGCTTGGATTCAATCCCGCATTGCTCTTTTCGTTTGGCTGAAGAAAAGAAGTTAAAAACGACTTTTGAAAGATTTCCATTCTTATCCCGACATTCTTTCACTTAGATTTGTCTTTCCGGCAATGTTTTCATCTAATTTCCATGCGTTATTTATATTTACAGCTTTATTGATGATTTGCAATATTCTTCTAAGCTTTAAATATTTATGTTTTACTGTATGTTTTTAGAGAGAACTATGCTCATCATTCTTCACTTTTCAATTTAATTAGAAATATATTTTTCAGTTTTTTCCTGATTTTCAGGATAAAATAAAGATCCTTTCATTTGTACGTCTTGAAGCAGTTCTTTTTCTCTAATTCTGACACCTCCGTCATATGGAAAAGATTATAGAAGTTGATAGACTTAAGAGGAGGATACGTAGGATTTGGGATGCGTTAAGTGTGTGAAGCGGACGTCGTTTCAGTCTTTTATATTGTTTAAGGCATTCGTTTGTTAAATTCTCCTCATTTCACATAAAAAAATGGACCGTCAACGTTTCAGGTTGGCAGTGATAAAAAGACGGTAGGTTGCGAGTGTGTTATTGCTACTGAAGAGTTGCAAACATTGGGTGGATTAGTGGAAACAGATATAAGAGTCGTTAGCGAAAGTGTGGCAGCAATCAACGAGCAAATTGAACAACTTGAAAGCTTGTTCCGAAACATCGGTCGTACTAAGGAATTAATTAAGCAGGTACTTTTCTCTAAGTTTCATAGTTGAAGCAGTATGACAAATGGGATTATTAAACACGAAAGAAATATGAAAGCAGAGGAAAAGTTCTTTCTTGCCAGATGGTCATGACTGTTAAAGGTTTTCGAATTTATATCTTAACGATCCGTAACCTGTACTTCGCTGTTTAGTTAAATAAGATGTTAATTATGCTACGCACAATGCAAACCCAATCGTATGACTTTCGATTATTTTCAGCGTTTATATACCTTATACAAAGCACCGCATTTACGCCGCGTTTATACAAGCACCACACACGAAGCTGTTCACCCTTTCCTCATAAAATTATTAGTTGTATTCCAGAAGAAGGAACTAAGGCAGAAAAACTTCAAAAAAACAAGAGATGGAAAGAAGTGGAAAAAGCTTAATAAAAACCGCAAAGAAAGGTTTGGTTTGTGCATGTCTCTTGTCTATAAACATATTGCAATGAATGCTTCATATCATTCTCTGAAATTAATTTCTCAGGATTGCCGGATTTTATTGAAATCGAGGAGAGTGAGGATGACAGTCCAATAGAAGTTTCGTCAAAGACGCAGTGCAAAATGCCTCTAATGGAAAACACTTCAAAGGTATATGTGTGGTTTGCCAACTTCTGACCAGTATTATTCAAGACGAAAAAGATGTCAAAACCAGGAAATAGGGATATTAAATTATGCACTTGACTTCCATTGGTATTTGGTTTTCTGAAATGAAAGAAACATTTTTAGCGCAAGAAGGTGAGGAAGAAGGTAAGACAGCGGAAGTACAAAGTGATCAAACTCAACGAAGGCGTATATAAGTCAGAGACCAAGTAGGGCATTAATCATTATTAATTATTCGGTAGAATGTATAATTAAAGTTGAAGTCCGCTTATTCGGTCAGAAAGATATTCCATCAAGATAAGAAACACATGTTATAAAAACAAACTCAATTGTACATATTTTTGAGTGACAGGAAGGCAATATTTAGAACTTCAACATTCAAAGTTATTCCGTTGTCAATGCCTTCACCACAACCATCACTCAACTTCCGGGCTCAATTGCTTCAAAAGAGAACGAAGAATCAAAGGCTCACAAGTAAATCGTTCTCTGTTTCTTTACATTTCAGCCAAATAAAGCTTCGCTTTTCAAACTCTTATGCCTTTTTCAATATTATGAACAGCAACCGAACGCATTTTATGTTTTACCGTCATGTCTCTCACTAGTTTCATTAGCTTCCCGTAACACGTGTAACTGTTTTTTTCTCACCGCCATTTTAGTCTTCAGTTATAAAATTTTTCGAAGTCATAAGAAGCAGATTAGTACTTTTTTTTTTACATTTCAGAAATGGAGCAGGCCGGTTTGCAGCATAAAAACAAATGGTTTGCAGCAACAAGATCAGCACGTCGATGAACTTTATGCTATGTTTAGTACGTGAATTTTATATAATGTTTAAAATATAAAATTCATATGAAAACATATACGCGCCATACACATCTGCAAATCAATGATCCCGCACAAAATAGAAGTTATATAGAATCGCAACAAAATCAAAAAATAGATACACTAACGGATTGGATTTAACAGTATTAATTAACTGTTAATTATCGACGATCACGGCTTCGGCGTCTGAAATTCAGTTTATTATTTTCACATCTTATAAGCACCATACTTTGATCAGAATTAAAACTTAAAGCACTTGAACTTCAGACACAAAACGTAAGCATCCATAGAGGAAGTAGCTGTTGTAATCGTTGGTGCTCCGCATGATTAAAACACATACGGGGCAAGTAGCTATTCTGTCACGAGCTTATGATGCGTTCTTTTCCCAAGAATTATTAGAATCTATAACGGTTAATCAGTTTAATCCCTGCCAAGCAAAATTTCCTGACAATCGGTCAATTTGTGATGAAAAAGTTTCTAAGTAAAAAAGTGCTATCTTCTATATGCAACACATTAAAATCTTAGCAAATGAATTTTGCTAAAACTTGTAGCAATACCTGTCGCGTTCGCTTCGTCTTTCATCCCTTTCTCGATCACGGGCAGAGCGGGGAGAACGAGACCGACGTCGTGGCGAACGACTGCAAGATTTGATTAGAAAGAAAAACATGTACCAGCTACATTTCAGATCTCTCCCAAAAATTAACCAAGGTATTGAATTCCTTTTCCTTTCATTCTTTTGTTCATATACTTCATCCCAAAGATGTACCATCAGCATGTCGTTATTAAATAAATAAACTTTTACGTCAGTGTAAAGTGTGGAAGTTGAGAAATTATTTACGAAAAAATGGAGGAACTAAACCTGCGTCTTCGTTCACGGTCCCTCTCACGCAAACGATCTCCATTACGATCACGATCACGATCACGATCCCGATCCCGATCTCTCTCTCTGTCTCTTTCCCGGTCGCGAGAATCATGATCACGTTCCCGAGCACGATAATCACGGTCTCTCTTGTCGCGATCACTAAAGCAGAATTCTTTCATGAAAAGCAATATTTTTTACATTTTGTATAAATGATATTCACAAAACAAAAAAAAACCCACTTCCTCTCATCTCGTGGACTCCCCAAGCCAAGCCGAACCTTCTTCCATTCCGCACGTCTTCCTTCAACTATTTTCTGCAAAAAATCTAAGTGAAAACAGAAAAACACGGTAGGCAGTTTTGAAGGAAACCGATGCGAACAATAGTAATTACACCTAACTTGACACCGTAACTTGAATTCCGTATCTGCCTCCATCACTTATGACAGTGTAGAAGCGTTTAGCAGTTTTGAAAGATTGCGCAAGCAGCACTTTTGCAATCCATGCTTGACATTTTATTCCATATATTCAATCTTGACATCTAGTCATTCCCTTCCTACTAATGTAAAAATGAAATTTCACAAATAATTGAAGATATACCTTCATTTCGCTGTACTGTTCACGAATAGTTTCCATACCACAGTGCATTTTACCACCATAGTGATCAGCTAAACGCGTTTCATGTTCCATTAAACTCAGTTGTGCTCCACACATATCACATACACGAAGTCTTACTTGTGGTGTGTTCAATACTGTCCGCACGTCATTCTCAAACGGAAATGTATCAGAAAAAACAATGAGGTTATGCATACATTCAGGTTTCGAGTAGTCCTGGCTTAACCAGCCAACAGCTGGGAGTGCTTGTTAGAAGGATACTACATTTCTTCAGTACCATTGAAACGTCAAAGCTTTCACATCGTGGCAGAAAATATGAATAATTTGAATATATAAGTATTAATTCACGAAGTTGTAAGTTGTAAAACAAAACAAAAGAAAGAAAATGAACTCCACCTCAAGATCTCGCTTTTTCCTTTTATATTCCTCAATGGTTTTCGATAATTCCATTGCTTCTTCAACCTTACCCTCATTTCCCAATGCTTCCATTTTTACAATTGTTGTTCCAATCTTCTCACCTAATTCCCCAATCATCTGTGTCTGCAATAAAACTTCATCGATCAAAATGCAACCTTTTGAAACATTTCAAATTTCAAAGAAACAAAAACCTTCAGAATCTCTGCCTGATCAATTTCATTTTCGCAGTCTTTCTTTAATTTCTCTTTTGTCCGTTCAATTTCTTTATCAACGATACGGATTGCCTCTTCCAATCTTTCAAAACTCTGAAATTTCCAACTCTTTTTTAATGACCCATTAAAATATTACGAAGCATAATAAATCTCCAACAAATTGGACGAACAATTCCAAGATGCAAACATGAATGAACAACAAAAAAGGAATAGGAAAAAGCATAATGAGCAAAGAAAAAAAGGCAAAAACAGACAATCAGTAGAAGAGCTGAACCAGGATGGAGACGCACGCTGCAGACAAATCCAATCAGCTGCAAAATTTCATTACCGGACGAAATTTCTACACTGCTGCGCCCACAATTCGTCAACGCCTATTTTTTGTTCTGCTACTGTTACACGATAATGACGAACAGAACTATGTTTTTCATTTAACGATCGAAAATTCGAGTTTAAAGTGACGCCTCAAAATGAGACATAGATCTGCCAGAAACAAGTAAAAAGCTCATTTTTTTCTCCAAATCTTTTTCATTCACGGTCTAAAGAAATTTCAACAACAGTGGACATACGAATTCCCATTATGTTTTTCGAACGATGATTGAAAGAGTTTCTCGGTATTTGCACGAAGGGCACTCTCCCTTTCACATGCATTAAACAACAACAATACCTAAAGTAAGAAAACTAAACAACTCGTTCCGATAATAGATTAACGGCCAATATCAAACAGTTGATGCACATTCGCTCTGTTACCACATTTCCGACAATTTCGAAAATACGACAAAACGCTCAACGAAAATTGCCTGTGCCACCCACTGTAGCATCTTCTATTATATTTGAAAAGTTCGGAGTGTTCTAGAGCTAAGGTTCGGAGTGTTAAAATGATTGCCAGAAAAAAAAACGGACACAAATATCTTCATGAAGATATCTTTTTTAAAAGGGACATACTATTGCGTAGATGTCTCAGCGTCTCTTATTTAACACAACCTTAAGATGTCGCTCGAAAGTGGTGGTAAAACAAAATAGGCTGAAAATGAGCTACTTGTAATATTAAACGTGAAAATAGTTGCAACATACATCAATATCATAAAAATGATCTCGTTGCTTCTGAGCGTTCTCATAATCAGCTTTGTGGGCGCTTTCGTGAACCTGAAACTAAAAAAAGTTCACCTCGAATATTTGTTGTTAATAAGTCAACCATCTCGATTCTTCTATAATTAATTTAAGATGCAACCGCTATAGATCTATGCAATTGAATCGTACCGTTGGTGAAAATTAATAGGTTAGGAGAAATTTGTTCAACACTCAAGAAAAATTAACTCAAAACCAGGTTTTTCGGAAAAGATGTTTTATAACTAGTGCTAAATTTATCTACATTCTACAGAAAAAAGTATTGAGACTCGCGCAGAAATAACAATTATTGTTTCGGAAAACATTACATACTTACGATTAACTTACACTAAAACACTAAACATTAAAAAAGAATATGCTGGAAACAAACCTTATTGCAAGCGACGAGTGACTCAAGACGAGTATCAGCCAGAATTTCGTGTGGACAGCAACCAAGAAGAAAAGCTCGGCATACAGTATGATGATTGTAAGGTACAAGGCGCCGACCCTCCTCCACTGCTCGATTTGTCCCCATGAGTTGATTGATCATGTCTCGCATTTCGGCCGTCATTCTGCTTTCAATTCTACTAAAATTTGATAACCTCATGGATGGACATTTAGCTATGAAAACCATTCATCTTCCTCTGCTATTTAGCACCATCTCCCCAAATCTCATTTCGTTTTTCAAAACTTCCCCATTTAAATTTTCATGCTGTAATCGACCCAGAACAACGTTACCATTGATTAAATCTCAATTGACCCATCTAGATCTACAGCTGTCAGACGGACGTGGCTGCAACTCAAACACTTCTTCCATTTCTCCTAGTAACATCTCAAATATGAAGCCTCCTACATTCAGAATTCTATACTAGAGTCCTTGTACAGCAAAACTAGGAATGTAGCCATTAAAATCTTCCGTTACGAAAGTAAAACTGAATAAACATACGACAAAGTACTTCCCGCAACGACTGATCAAAATTAGCAAACTGAAAGTGCATCATATAAAACGCGTCTTTTCCTCATTCCCTCTATGAAAACCTTTGTCTCTTTTGAAAAAGAGGTCGCGTGACAATGCGTCGAATGATTGCTGTGTGCTCGGCTGGTCTGAAATTAACAGTGGAATTTTCGTTCCAAAATAAGCTTATAAATTATTATTTATTACTATCGTTATCTACTATTGTTACTATTATTTATTATTGTTGTTAATTGTTATTGTTATTATTAATTACTTGTTATTATTATTTATTACCTATTATTATTAATAATATTACTATCAATTATTATTGTTGCTATTATTATTATTATTTTTTAAATTATTGCTACTATTATTGATCAGCTTTTTACTTGTGTGTTAATCTGAAGTATTTTATTTTGATGCATGTTATACGAAAAGTTTTTATCTTTCACATTCTCATCACTTTAAGTCTATTCTTGACTTTCTTCTGTTACTTGTTGATCTTAAAAATTTGTTTAAATAATATAATTCTTATGGTAACCTTATGTTTCTCATTTCTTATTTATTCTAACATTTCACTATAATATCTCATTCAATACTTCTCACTATTATTATTAATTGCCAATAAAAATAATAAATCATTAATTTAACGATTTTACTATATTATGGTATTATTTGAAATACTAGAAATTGAACGCTGTACCAAATGTAACTTTAAAATTGATTCAATTTTTTTGTTTAACTTTATTCTCATTTTTTTTTAAACAATTAAAAATTTAATTGCGATGATATTTAATAGAAGTTATTTTTGAAAACGCAAATGAGGAAATTTTGCAATAAACTTTATTGATGCGCTACGGATATGCATAAAGATTGTTATTATGGTAGCGATTATGATTTATCGCTTATCAGGGATACATAATGTCGCTCTTCCATGCCTATCAGTATAATCATTACTCCATCAAACGCTCATCAATCTATCAATTAAAGAATACAGAATTCTTCCACAAAATTGTCAGTCAGTTGAAATGATTGAAATACAAGAAAGACTTATTTTTCTTTTGATCTCTATTCAAATTATTAATTATTTTCCTATAATTTGTCCCACAAAATTAAAAAAAAAGAAAACACAGGAATAAAACACAGGAATCGATCATAGATAAATGAATGATGAACTGATAGCAATTAGCTGCTTTAAGATTCATTCCATCATATCATTTTTACAAGCAATTGATATCCGTTGAATTTGTTGCTGAATTGTCATTACTTTTGCCAATGATTTTTCATCCAATTTGTTGAGGTCATTTTCTAAACGTGTTTTAAGTACTCTCATACGTTCTGATGTCTCCTGCAAATGAACATTAGGGATATATTTTGTAGAATGGAAAATTTTATGTTGAAATTAAAAAAATTAATAAATTTAAAATTGAATGAATATGATATTGAGGAAAGCTTCAATAGAGAACAAATGAAGAATATATTGTTTGACAGAATCGAAATCACGATGAAATGCGAATGATAGATGGTAAATAACATTTAATAATATAGCAATTAATTAACCTGTAATGGCCAAGCTAATAATAATACACAAAGAGCAGTCGATGTAATATATGAAGCGATATCCAACGATAAAATTTTACGACAAATATGCTCACAAGAATTCTTTTCCTTCATTAATTGCATATCAGAATAAATGTTATCACATTTATCTTCTCGTTCACTGTGAAATATCTTAAATATTGTGAGTTATTTCACATAATGTCATAAAGTAAATTAACTCCTAAAAATGAAATGAAAAATTAGCCGAGAGAAATGAAGCGGTATTAGTCTCTTCTCATTTACCACTAACCTGTATGTTAAAATAATAATGGTTATATTAATTAAAATCAGATCAGATCGATCAAATGAAGTTAGCAATTAAATCTCAATCTTACTCCAAGTAATAGTGACCATTAACAATCTGTTTTTTAGAGTTGGCTATCTCTTTGCCTTATATAATTTAAATATCAAAATATCAATGTATATATTAATGGAAAATTTCTAGCAAATATAACCTCAGAAAAGTCGCAGAATACAATGTATCCCATGAAAATAGCCCGAAATACCGCACAAGCAGTTTCAAATTCCAAGTCTTCATTATTCAATACTTCTTCCGAAAGAAATTGTTCCCATTTTTTCAATCGTGGCGCAAACTGCAATTGAAATTTGGTAACACGGAGAATGACGAAAAATTTTAATAATGTTTAAGGTGCACTTTTGATATACTATATTGATTTGCGGATTTTGAATTAGAATTTAGGATTCAGTGAGATTAAAAATATTTATCATAATAAATAAACATTATAGTAGATAGTAATATAGTATGGTAGCAATAACGACAAAATAATAGCAAATAATACATATATAACTATTAGAAATTAATAATAATAGTAATAATAAGAGTGATTATAATAATTAATAATAATATAACAATAATAATTTAATAATAATACATTTTATTTCTTCAAACGCAATTGTATATGGCATAACTAATTGTCAGTAAGTTTTAAATAAAGGATTAATAGTAACAGAAAATCAATGCTGAAGAAGTTGGTCTAACGATATAATTTTCTCAAAAATCTTTAATAATATATTTTATGAAAATGAATCAAACCAGGTAAAAACATTCTCCTTACTAAAATGATTACCTTTGGTGGAATGTTTATTCTTATTTTTGTTTGTAAGAAAAAGTATTGTAATCTTATGATTTAAATGGCCTGTTTAGTTCACTATTCCTCATTGGCTTAAGGACAGCTTTTCTACTTTGCTTTCTCTCCATTAATTTTACTGGCATATACAAATAATGTTTTTTAGTGAAAGATTCAAATAATTGAATATTCATTATCATTGGGTTAAGCTAAACATTTCATCTGTGCATTTTATATTATGCATTTAAGCAATAGTACACTAATTCCTGATAATTTTAATTGATTAAGAATAATTAAGAGTAAGGAAACAAAAGAATTTTAATATCTACCAATGTTTTATAAGCACTGATATCGCCTTGCAAGCGAAGTAGTATTAGTGGTTGTATTTGAGATCGGAATTTCAATGTTATATAACCTGAAACTTATTTTAAATAATTTACCATTGAAGTAGCTGCTCTATTTTAAGTTACCTGTTAAATTTTAAAGATTTAAGTTTGTCATCCATTTAGATATCTTAAGCATAAAGTGAATTAAAATTCCTCAAAATAAGTTTCAATTACATTTTATGAAGATAAAAACTAATCAGCAATAAAGTGGTCAAGAAAATCAATAACCTCGTGGTTTACCAGTAGTAGCATCAATGCTAAGCATCGCATCTCTCAAAATGGTTAGTGGTACCCAATGGGGCGGATATTTGAATCGAGCAACATCCAGGATAAGAATCTGATCACTTTCTTCATGATAAGCACCTAACGGTGAGAAATGACCTTAAGTAAAAAAATTAGTTACTGATCATATCATCCAACAAATTGATCAGATAAAAAATGATAAATAAATGTTTGTTTAAGTACCTGTACCAGTTTGGCCCAACACTTGACGATTATAGCTAACTACAAGAATCGTATCATCAACTGCCATGCATCGTTTGACATCTTCTCGGAAGATACTCAGGAATTCTGAGTAATAATTATTTAGATGAAAATTTTTTTAAACTTAATGCAAACTTATACAGAATAGTTGGTAAGACTAAATATTTTTTCTTGAAATATTAACGCCAAAACTAAGTTTGGCATTTCAGTTTCATTTAATAGTTATAGTGTACGCAATGAAGTGGTACGTAATTTGTTCCTATTTCCAGAATGAAAAAATAAAAGAGCAAGCAAAACCTGATTTAGATTCAGCGTATTTTAATTCGGTGCAAAGTTTGTTGCATTCCGCTAGGCAAGCGAATTGAGATAATGTTATTCCAGTTTTCTTGATCACATCAAGTGGCACACAACAGTCAAGCATACTTTCATGATAGAAACGCCATGGTGACTTCCATACTCGACCTGGATCCACTTCCAACGCATTTAGTATCATAACTAAACAGTAAATTAGTAATACTACAACCTTTGTAACATATAACAAAGTCGTGAAACATTTCTTTAGTCAAAAGCAAAAGCAAGTAAATATTTTGGAAGAAATTTTAGTTCATATTTCTTCCGTACAAACAACAGTTATTATTATTTTACTGAAAACATCTAAAGATTGCTTGACAATGAATTCAATTCTTTATTAAATTTTTGTCTAAATTAAAGTTAATATTAAAAAATTTTGCAAATTAATTTTTTTTAAAAAAAGTAATGGGAAAATATTTACCCAAAGTAGAGAGACCACAATAAGATGGCTCATTTTGGGTCAAAAAATGTGACGCTAATCGAAAGTAAATATTTGCATGCCCTAAAATACAATAAAATTTTGATATCGTAACCAGAAATAGTGGCGGAATTGGGAAATGGAAATGAGAGAAAAAACGGTTTCATTAGATTGGAATGCACAAATAAGCGCATAGATTTATTCTAAATGAAATTTACTACATTGTTTTAATTGAATTAGTACATATTGAATTAATAAATGAACCATTTATAACTCTGAAATTAACAATTAATCGAATTAAATAATGATTAATCTATAATAGTGTATAATAAAAAGAAATAAAAATTATTAAAAATCGATGAAGTACGCAAAATGAAAAAATGCTAGGAAAATTTTAGCAGAAAGCAATTTCGCTGAAAATTTTGCTAATTGAAGAGATCAAAAAAAAACAGAAAAAATCTATGTAATTTATTAATTAGACAGAATAATTAAGTAGAATTAATAGCTATAAAATTACGAATGTTATGGTTATTACTTAAATTAGATTAACAAAGATACGAAAAAAAATCCTTTCCAATTTCTTTTCTATTAATAGTGAAATTTTTGTTGAAAACTTTTAAATAATTCAGCTTTTGCAACTTCAAGTAAATTATTATTTATTTTTCCTACTTCGAAAAATAAATTCAGATTTCTTTACTTATAATTAGATAAATTTGATTGATATAAAATTCACACCTTTAATAAGACTTTCGACGAAAAGTCTCTTGCCTTCAGGTGATACAAAATTGATACAGGATGGTGGTAATTTCCGACGATAGAAATTTTGAGGTTTCATTGCACGATTGTGATGCATGTGCTCCATGCTATAGTTGATAATAATATAGTTATCAATCATTGATGTCTGATGTTCATTGTGATAAAGAGAAAAATTGCATTAATTATCAAATAGCTGTAAACATTGGGATAAAGAGAAAAATTGCATATATCAATAATTATTATCAAACAGCTATCTATATGACCATTATCTTTTAATAGTTTGTGAATCAAAATAGATTATTGAATAATTAGTATCAAGAACAGATAATTATTCCTCAACTTCAAATTCGATGTAGAACTATATCATTGCTAATTAATGAGCTTGAATGACGATTGATAATTGATTGTTTGTGAATATCCGCCTACTTACCATAATTTATTAACATTCATAATGTACTACAAATTGATATACTTTACAAACAGATGACCGATTTAGACTAACCTCTAAGCAAACCTTAAACCTAACTGCTAGAAATTTACAGTACGATATCGATCATATCATCATTTTGTTCAGTTAGTTCAATGTTGCTAATTATTTTTTTGATAAAAGTATCAAAAGAGGAAATCTTTTTCCAACATCGAAAATGTTATTCGTAAAATTATAGCATACATTTATAGTTGTAACATTTATATGATAAAAGTTTCGAATAACTTTTAGATAATTTCAAGAAATTGTAATAAATTTGAACAAGATCGATCACATATTTCGTAGCAAGATCGGTCATATATTTCGTTTACTCAAGATCGATCACATATTTCGTTTACTTTCGTTATACAAATATCTTACTTTCTTTTTTATATTCGATTAAATTTTGAATTCTCTTTTAAAATTTGACGTATCAAAACTAAGTATACATATATATGTACATACCAAGAAAAAAATGACAATAAAAATATTCTCTGTTCAGGGGATATTAAATTGATCCAATTGAAATGTGAAGATATCGGTTTGACACGATAAAATTGTGGGAATATTAAAATTGTATCATCGAATTGTAACAATGATGAAAGATATTTCCTGAAAATTTTTGGAAGAAAACGGCACAACCGCATAATGAAAAATTGATCAAAATGAATTGTTAATACTAAATTGTAAGGGCAATTAAAAAAACCGGTTTTGCAATTTGAGACACGTCTAATCCGGTCGAAAGGTTACTTGAAGATTGAAAGTTACCCAAAAGAATCAATCTCATTATAGCTTCAAATTGTCAGGCAATTGTTATTTTGTTTCATTGATCAATATTTGAGCTAAACAAACTGGAAATGATGAAGTATGTTTCTTTCTATTTATTGAAGCAGATATATCCAAAAAAATTGCTGTGATAATAGCGATTAGAGTAGCAGCAGCTAAAATGATAGTGACTAAGATTTTGATAGCGGTAATAATTATTGTATACTACAATTTATGATCAAAGTAACAGGTAAGATTATAATGAATGAATCCGAAATACTTAAGTAATGATTGTAATTTATGAATAGTAATAATCACGACAATAACAACTGCATCTATAATCATAATCATAGCAGCTTATTTGGATAACTGTAACAATTATGGTACTGCAGTGGCAACAATCATTTACATAGCAAGCACCATAATTTCATTTGTGTGCAAAATCCTTCGAGACTTAGTACTCGAAGTTTCATAACATGTTAATTGAATAAGGCATAATGTATAATGTGTTGATAGAGAAACATGGAATTGAAAATTTAAAGCAAATTTATTAAAAATATTCATATTGACCTGTATACAATTTCAGACTTATGAGGCACAGAAATAGCACTTTACAACTATTACAGCTCGTTAAATTAAATAACCTATACGCCAAATATCTCATGCAATTGGATCAATAAAAATGAAAAAATAAAATAATATTTAAAATCAAAAGCAAATGTATGTAAGCATCGCACTTCTCAGTGGCTAAATCACTAACCGGATCAGGAAGAGCAGGGAAATCTTGCAAATGAAGAACAACATATCAGTTCGTTAACTTTTCAAAGTCAGAGTACAAAGAATAAAAAATGAAAATTACAAAATACATTTCTAATAATTAACTCCTCTTCTACTTAGCAAAATTCTAAAAACAACGAAAGAGATAATAAACTAAAAATCTCAACATATAAATAATTACAAGTTATAAAAAATTTTTCACTTAAATATCGTGCGGAAAACGAAGTTAAACCGTTAAATACGTTATCGTTTATTCCTTTGGAAGCAAAAAAAAATGAATCTTTCTTCCCAAATAGAAATTTATGGAGTTTATCTTTTCTAGCTTTCAGCAGAATAAATAAATAAACAGATAAATATATACAACAAATCATAATGCTATTTGACAATTATACAAGCAATCAAACAGCAGCAGTGCAAAAATACAAAGTTGAAAATTGAAGAAAAATAAAAAGCTACGGAAAAAGATTCCAAAACAAGACTTGTCTCCAGGAAAAATTTGCTGAAATTTAAGAATGTAGAAGTGAAGAAAAGAAAGCAAATTTAAACTTCCACAATAACTTCTTTAGCTGACCAAACTGTATCAACAACATTTATCGGAATGTGAACGATAATTCTGAAACATGGTCACTATCTTCACCAGTTCACTAATTTTTTCCATAAGATAAACTAAAAAAAAGGGTATAAAAAAGTATATGGAATACCAATCTGAACAAACTTAGCAACTAATCAATAAAAACAAAAAACTCCTCCACAGGTGAAAATATTGATTTCTTGTCGTACAATCGAACATTTAGAGGTAATATATTAGATTCGAGGTCATCAGTATTGACTGTTTTCGAATTTTCCTCTGCTGATCTCGATTCCCCTTCAGACACTGTCGATAAGTTTACCGAATCAGCTTTTTGCTGGCCATTTTTTTCATCATTCGATGCTTTACTCGAAAATTCCATCTTTTCAACGGTGTTAATCGACACTTCCATTCGCTTTTGCTCTAACTTCTTTGCAGCGTCATGAACCTGAACTTATGTCCGCATAACTTACTAAGCAAAAATTGTTAAATGGGACTGCTACTTACTCCATAAACCCTTCCCTTCCATGAATAAAAAGCTTGGCTTAGAAACTTCTTGGATTAATCTTCTGCCCCTTGCCAAAAAAGTTTTCGATTCAAAGTTTTCAAATCATAAAACTTCAAAGCTTCGCAAACTTCCATCTTGAAAATATCTTTACATGAACCGGAAAGTACAAAAATCAAAGAAATTTAACTGTTATTACCTGATGAAGATAATATGGCCCACCATAATTAACCAACCAATTGTAGGCATATTTCGGTATATTACTTTCAGGATTGTCGTAATATGAAAGAATATAATCAAATCCTTTGCAATCAAAAGTTTTATGTGCTCGAACTATCATTATTGACCGATATGTTTCGACGCGAACATATTTTTTTTCACATCGTGGAATAATATTAGCACTATCTGTTATCGCACAATTTGCTATCACAATACAACGATCCCTCTCATCAATGTATCTGAATATTTTAATATGTTAGCCCTTTTGTAAAACATTGTTTGCTATAATATCAGTGGAAATATTTTCATTCCAATCATTACACATTGGGTCACATGGCATTTCTTAAAATTTTTTACTACTATATGCAGACCATCATTCAATCCCTTAATATCACAGACTTTCAACGTATGCGTTGAAAGTCTCTTTTTAACCTGAAAGTAGAAGCAGATGAAAGCCGAAAAAAATTGCACAAATGTGGCAAATGTGGAAGCAGAATACAATTATGATAATGAAACGGAAAGGTACTCTTTTTGAGTGGTAATCGGGATTGCAAGTGACCAATATAACAATATCTACTTATTTTAAACTTTATCAAACTACTAATCTAAGATTTATACAGCATCGTTTTCTCTCCTTTTACTACCAAAAATCAAATTTCAAAAATTTTAGCTGCGTCACAAATTTAAAAACCAATTCTTATTCATACCTTCGTCTCACAAATACATATTCACGGGGGTATAATGGATAGGGAAACTTAGAAATCCAGTGGATAAGCTCCGAATCGGTATTATCATCTTTCCGGACTAGCTCCAATTTTACAACATTCCTATCCCATTTCTTCCGAAAAACTAAATCCATTTGAGCATCCACAAAATCACTGGCCGTTATGTCACTGAAATCAATTACAGTTATACAATCTTACTGAAATCAATTACAATTATACAATCAATACAATACATATTCACGCGGGTATAATGGATAGGGAAACTTAGAAATCCAGTGGATAAGTCATAAACTTAAAATCTGTATCTCAAGCGCAATTTTCTAGTGAAGTTTTCTTACAAAGCATATGTAGTAACTGCACCGTAAACGGTGATTCAAACCGTTTTTCTCCACAAACTGACAAATGACAAATTTTTTAGCTCTTTTAAAGCTTCTAAAAGGATTTATGCTCCATCAAACTGCCGACACTATTACAATTCGATTAGATATCTAAATCAAATTTCTAACATATATACAATATAATGTTCGTTAATTACGGTCATTCAACACTGAGCCATTTAGCAGTCTTGAAAACTTACTCGTAAGAACCAGAGCAGCGAAATTCATATAAACCCGTATCAACATGCAACCGTCGTAATACTTTGGAATTTTCTTCATTACGCACTATCTGAAAAAAAGTATTTGCTTCTAATACATGAAATTCACTTTTTTTTTTCACTTCACTTTTTGATAACACGGAGCTTTCTTGAAATACAAAAGCAGAGATAAAAGTGCAAAGTGATCAGATTATGGAACGAAATAAAAACAAAAAGTGTGGTGCTTCAGATGGAAATATCGCAATTCAAAAATAAAAATAATATCAAGAAAAAAGAAGAGAAATTAAATTCATGAGTTTTTAAGATTGAAGTAAAAACAGTGTAGTAGAGAACTACCAACTTCCCAATCCTCGCAATCAATATCGGTACTCGTCTTTGCTTCTGCCAATATCATTTCATCTGAGATTCCATTTTGCTGAAATGAAAAACTGGCTGCTGAAACAGCCATCAGAAACTGCGGTCGCCAATGAAACCTACAAAACAATAAATGAAATTGATCTCTCTATATTTGCCAAAACATGCCACATGTTTATGGGTAAAACAAGCACCACCTTTTAAATTAAGATGATAATCAAATGCTCGGAGAGAATAGCTTCATCCGGAATATCAAATAAAAACTGCCTATCATTCAAACGTTAAAAAGTATCATACTGCATACGACTATATCTAATTTCTTTTTTGAGCATTATAAGCAGATGCCGTTATGATAACTTCTACTGCAAATTGTTGAAATAATGTATACTTAGCTTTAAGCTTTATAATGCAGAAAAAACTACCACTGTTGCCATCGCTTTTCATAATTTCTCCGTCCGCTCCAAATAATCCATTTGCACAGTTGTACTTTTCTAATCCCATTAAAAAATAAACATAACAATCGGTTTCGAATTATTTGTGATAATGATTGGAGCATTAGCTATTGTACCTTGTTTTTCTAGTTTCAATTCTTGCTTTTTCCAATATTCCAGATATAAGAATTCGAGAAGTCTGAAAATTTTAATAAGAACAAATTTAAAACTGATAAACAAAAGAAATCCAACAAACTAAATTATATGATCATAATATATTTTCTTAAAATAAAATACTCAATATTTAATGAAACACATTAAATGCATTTACACAATTATTGATAAGCATTATTTCATTCTAATTATTAATCTACGAATTAGTTCAGTTGTTGTTACCATTAAATGAATTCATGTGAATTCATTTACATAATCTAGCACAGTACAATTTAATCGTAAAACGAAATAAAAACAAAGAGATCGTAGTTTGGAAATACTTTAATTATTTTTAATTTCTAGAGAAAGCAAATTTTAGAAAAAAAATTATGGAAAGAAACTTTTCTTTCTAAGACATTCAAAAATTCTTTAAAAGAAAAGGAATTGTCAATAATATCAAATGACGGGAATCCACGGTTTCGAGATACCTGATCATAATTACCGAATATCAATCCAGTTTCTTCCGGCAATAAATGATACCAATAGCATCTTTATATATTTATTTCCCGAAATAAGCAAAGTGATAAGTATGATAACATATAAAACCACTTTATAAAATATAAAAGCATTAATAATTAAGTAACCAAAATATAAATACAGTCATTTCAAATTTAATACTATAATGATTTAGAAGAATATACAACAGTAGTTCTAAAACAACAAATGCTAACGTTGTTGGAGATACATCGATATCTATCATTTAGAACAAAAAGTGTTAAGTGATTTTGTATTTTAATTGGTTGTGACAATAATCCTTATCACATTATTATAAATAACTACTTCATTACATGCAGAATTGTTGTAGGATCTGTAATGCAAAATTCTGCTATGCAAAAAAGGAAATTGTTATGTGCGCAGCTTACCGCTAGCAAAAAATATGAAATCTCTTCCCTCATTTTCCAGAAAAAGTAGGTTAGATTAACGTTTTTCTGCATTTTTTTATACATCATATAAGAATGCCATCTCATAAAGATGAAAATCATTTTCAAATTTCTACCCGCTAATGATATATGAATGAATAATCACAATTTTACATTCTTCATCTAAAATTTCCTGATAACGTAACTTAAATGCAAAATTCCAATAAATGAATAAACAATGAATAATAATGATAAAAAAAATCCTATGAAAAGAAACGGACAGTGAAAAATTTTAATAGAAGTGGAATGCGGAAAGAGAGATTTTCGAAGGGAGAACATAAAATAACTGTTGCATAGTTTTACATCAAAATTAAAAAAAAAACAAAACTTTAGACTAAAACAGTTAGCTGCAATCATAAATAATAGAGGTAGAAATGGGAAAAAGCGTTTTTCAAAAAGCGACAATACGCTTATCACGAAAGCATCCGGATAAGAAATTTGCAAAATTTTTTGAAATAATTAACCTAAAGAGCATGCAATTATAAGTCAAACATGAAAAAATATTTATATGTAAGAGAAAAAATCTATATAATTTCCCATAATTCAAATTCATTTCTTTCGCAAAAATGAAAAGATTGCACCAATTTTACTGAGCATAACAATGAAATCGAAATTACAGCTACAATGATTGCACGAAGGATTACTTTTCAGATTGATAGCTTGATCATACATATAATTATTTGATAATGAATGGAAGAATTTAAAGATCAATAATAATCGTTTCCAACTTCTGCAACATTTCCAATGCTTTTGTGATAATTTCAATTTAATCAAGTGTATGCCAGAATATCGCTGTGCTTGTTACTTATTACTGAGAACAAAAAATTCCAGCTTTCAAGGGCGAATTAAATAAAATAATCACATAACATCACAAAAACTCGAACATTTTTATCACTTCTAATAAATTATAGGCATAAAATTAAAGCAATATGAAATCTAAAACGTCAACAGTTGAACGGAATAAACTTGATCTATATTTTCAAGAGCTTGTTATCGGATCTTTCCCAGCATCCTCGATGAATATACTGTGCAAATGCAGCACCATGCAGATCAATTGACTCAAAATGTGTGAACCACAATTTCGGAGACTGCAGCAGTAGTTGTAATTGCCCATTTCCACCAACCTATAGCCAAATGTGGTGTCTTTCTGCGTGATTCAATTAATGAACGGAGTTGAGTAAGGGTGTCAGAATATTGATAAGACCCTGAAAAGTAAGACTTCATCAAAATATTCAGCACATATTCTGTCAAATTACTAGAGAATTACTATTATTTAAACTTCCCAAATGCTTTAAGTTCTGCAGTTAATGTTTAAGGACATTCGTCACATGCTACACATGCTAGTTCACGTACTTATACTTCACTAACGGAAGTAGCAAACAGTATTTCGATGTCACAATGTCAAATTAGCAAATTCAATACACACATTAAAATGTAGCGAATTAAACTCAATTTTAGGAAAAATAAAAAATATAGGAAATAATTGAGTCTAGTTTATCTGAATTTTCAATTCCAATTTAATTTAATTAAAAAAAGAAAAAGAATCAAGCGACAACCATGAGCATAATGTGTGGCGACTGATATTTCTAAGACGGGTGTCTCCGTGATATTTATTGAATTGAAACCACTACCTCTCTATAAATAAAACTTCTTCGCACCGCTTTCATATTTTTATCATAAAATTTCTTGCAGCTATAACTCCTTCACTTCATAAATTTCTTCTTAGCTGAGACTCCCTAGTGTCCAGAACCAATAAATACACATTTGAAGGGCTAGACGAATGATGATACGAACAAACAAAATGCTAAATGAAGAATTTTTAACCAAATAAAATACTAAAATCTGAATTAACCAACCCTTTTAAGTACAATCCAGAAATTTTGTTCTTCAGGAGGTTCGGCACCATAAGAAAGAAAAACGAAATAAGTATTGCGTTTACTAAAAGCATCAGACCGAAACTTTGTAAATGACCAACTGTCAATTTCAAGATCGTTCACAGGAGTTAAGTGTAATGACATTTTATCAGCACCACCTGACATTGTAAAACGCAATCGCAATTCAGATTTTGATAGCAAATGTTTTTCGACATTGGTGATTTTGATAGGACGAGCTATACGTGGATGACCAGGTAATGGTATCCAACGAGACTCCCTACAAATGAAAAATTCGAAGAGATTTTGCTGACGGTAAACATCAAGAAAAATATCTCCAGGAATGTTTCGGACATCAACGAGCCAATGAATAGATTAGTTAAAATGACTAACTTTCATTCGCTTGATTGTTCTATCGTTATTAATCTTGATCATTTCAAAACATTTCTGTCATCCCAAACAGGGATTAAGTCAAGTGATAAGAACTCTCAGTACTTACTTACTTCGTAATAAAATAAACAAAAGTAATTATCAAATTAATCTGACCGAGATGAGTCACGTTTGTTATTTCAATATTTGAATTCAATTTATACATAATTTCGAAAAAAATAATCGAATACCGTGGAGGAAACAGCTGGTGAACAGCTGTATAATATGGAAGACGGCAATATTCATCTTTGATACCAGTGCAGTTGGGCGCACTGTTTCCTAAAAAAATATGTTGAACAAATGAATCAGATTTCATTTTTGAAATATAACGTCGAAAAATCGAAAGAAGGATCAATGAGAGTACCAGTCAAAAAAGTATGCTCCGGCAGGTCAGTAATACCGCGATAATCTAATGTTTGTACGAATAATGCATGTTCCTGAACTGATATGTTACTATGAAAGGGATAAATTGATCGTTGGGTATCCTGGAAAAAGTTTCATAGAGATTAATTATGAATTTGAAACTGTTTCAAAAAATACAATTTTTTGTACTCAAAATATATTAATTAAATTTTTTTTCATACAAGGTTCTGAAAGAAAAAAGAACTTCTACCAATGTAATGAGGCGTCTCAGACGAGGGCTTTCTTCAGAATATTTATAAGGCCATCCAAGCCTTGTACTGAATAAGGCTATAAAAAACATACAATACAATATTAAACCACATTTTATGAGATAATCCATGCGACGGCTAACATACAGGAGATTACTCTGAAATGTAGATAGATTAAAGCTATTACATTTTGAATCTAATATTCATGAAAAGGTTAGATTCATATCTTAATAGTTTATCCACGAAGAAATGGAAAGAAAATATTTGTTCGAATAATAAACCAAAAAATTCCCAAATTCACGAAAACCAATACGTTCGAAAACGTGATCAGTATAAAGCATGTTAGGCTAGAATGCACATACCGTAAAAAATACAAAACATAGTGCAACAAAAAGACTCATTAGTAAGATAACAAATTCGGGATTAACTGCTACACCCATACGTCCTGTAACCGGAACGAAGAAGTCAAAAAGCAACATTGCTGAGTAAGCATCGAATACCATTATAGGAACAGTACAAAACAGTTGTGTGAGCAATAACCACTGTGGAGAAATTTCTGAAAGTTTATAATTTTTGAGAGTTTAACCAAATCTCCATCAAAACTTATCGACTGCATTTAATGAGAGATTTCACATCTTTCAACACTTTTAAATTAAACCCCACTTTAAATCTATGGGGAAGAAAATGAAATTAAAAAATGGCCTCAACTGTAGGTATGAAACCTTTTAGGCTAGCTAAGTCCTATTAAATTCTATAAAAATAATATTTTGAGAAATGATTATTAAGGAAGGACAAAAATTACTTGTTATCAACCGCATCCGTCCCAGAATCCAAAGCAGTGGATCGCGAAGCAATAAGAAGAAAGAATTGTAAAGCAAAAAGGATGCACCAGCAATACCAGCAAATGTTGCAAGTGTTAGCCATATTGAAAACAATAATAAAACACCATCAAAATGTACCATTTCTTGATTAGGTCTCTGGAAATCTCGTATTTAATTTTGTCTGCTGTTAAAAAATTTTCTGCTTCTCAAACTTTCCATTAAATATTTCCGTCAAATCAAGCCATCATTGTTCCGAATATTGGTTGAATGTAGCAATGTCAACACGTAACATTATTTCAGCAGATTTTCCAGTACTTCCAATATAATAGCTACGTTAGGCTTCTACAATATCAAACAGTTGCCTTTCTTCAGTGATCTGATTAATTAAGCTAGGTTTTGGTAAGAAACATGTATAAACAAATTCAAATATTGAACAAACAACTTTCTCCTACGTCTATTTCTTGGATAATTCACTATGATTCCAATCAATAACTGAGGAAATATTCTTCCCACACAGAAGTTTCACGACTACTACAAAACTCTCACTTATAACGCAATTTTTTCCAAAATTATCCTTCCTATTTAATATTAAGATACGATCAAACATATATGGAAAAATATTATTATCTTCCTTGATGAGTGGAAATGCAATAAGAAAATACTTTATGCAGTTGAGCTAAAACTGCATGGGTAGCACAACCAGCGATAAGAAGAGGAAATATGTAGAGAGGAAAAGCAAGTTCCGGAAGTGAATACCAGCACATTATCATGTCAAGTTTAGTTACCGCCAAAACAATCGATGCGCCTGTTGCTGGAAATAATATTTTGTTCATTCCATTCCTCTAGTATTTTCCAAAAAGTAATATTGAAAATCAGTTTCAATAAAATGATGATATATTGAGTGAAATAAAATAAAGATGTTAATAAAAGTGTAAGAAATACACGTAATATATAAAGACTGAATAGGTTTTTTTTTTTTTTTTTTTTTAATAACCATCTTATAATGCATTTGTAAAGCAAAACACACCAAACATGACAACTGCCGCGATAATATGACCAAAAACTGCTTTAAATAAATCTAGCAAATTATAAAATCCTTTTCCAACACGATATGCAATAACGATCAAAACTGCTACTGCAGTCGCATAATTGAGAACTTGCCCGACAGTTATTGGATAAAAAACCGTAAAAATCCCAACGACGTCATAAAACACCCAACGGTTACCTTGCTCAAAATCACCTGGTCGATCCAGATATGGAGAATTGACCAAAGCCTTAACAAACGTATAGGAAGGTAGATGCCAAACTGCCTGATTTTAAATCGAAGTGGAAATCAAATAATGCCGATCAGCAAAACCGTAGTAATCATTATTTTTGCCAGCAGACTCAAAATATTAGAAATTTACCTTAGTAACGGCAAGCAGATTCTCACCAGCCCTTTGAATACATCCTGGAGTGATAAATTTCGGAGTATCAAACTCCGTATGATAAACCCACCCATTTCGAAAATAAGCAATATCAAGACCTGAAAACCTGTGAATTCATTAAGAATTACTTGACTTGGCTCCATCGAAAACAACAATTAACCTTACCTGAAATACGACCATAATCTCGGAAAACGCGAAAATCTGTATCAGATGGTATAATACCAGCTTGGAATATTTCCTGTGCTAAAACACTGCAGTGAGGATGGGGCGCATTTTCTAGATAAGTATGCAAAAGCCATGAATTCCCAGGTCCAGCCTAAAAGTATATATTTTTGAAAATTGAAGAAATAACTGGAAAAAGTTCTTTCATAGAGCTCAAACGATGGAATAAAATAAATAATGACCTGGAAGAGTATTTCACGTCCACCAGCACCAGAACCCTCCAAGTTCACAAATGCTCGAATGGAATGTCGCCATGGATGTTGCGTAATGAAACCATGTGAAGCTTGCAAAAAATTTTCTTCAGCTGAAATCATAATTTGAAAAAGTCTCTAGAAAACTGAAAGATGAGTCCTATTAGAAAGAATTCGTATGCAACAAACACCGACATGTAATTTCTTTAAGCTAGCGTTGGTAACAAAACAAGTGAGCTGTAGGAAATGGTTCAAAAATCAATTACTGCCCATAAAAAATTGACATGTACGTCTATGCCTACGTGTGCAGCAATATCAAGTTGCTGAACGCTTTCGTACGAAGTTATCACAATCCGTATGTTTCGCCTAAGAAATGTGCATACTACATTTACTAATGATATTGATGAAACAGTCATATTTTTCACCTCCATTGAAAAGGAAAATTATGTCATTTTGGAGAGATTCTTTCGAATGAGACAAGATATCCATAACCTCCATCATAACTGCACAGCTTACCTAAAACAACTTTTAAGGACAGTGATAAACAAAATTCGGCTTCCAATTTTCACAGAAGAATAATGAGAAATGAATGGCTAACGATGTCGAATAAACTAAAAGCATCCAAAATGGTTAAAAATTCCAAAGAACAACAGCAGCGGCAATACTTACAGCGTCATCGGTAGCACCCGGTGAACTCGGAAACGTATCGAAATGACAATTCAGTAAAATGGAATGCTTTGGTGGAACCTTTGGTCCAATCCGTGCTACAATTAAAAATATAGTGAAACATTGCAGATACTCTCTTCAAATAATTATGAAAACAAAAAAAGAGGAATCACCAATAATATTGGTTATTTTGTGATAGCATAAGGTGAACGATGATAAAAATCCGAGATCAAAGCATCCCGATGGGCGTTGAACATCAATGTCCAAACGATTCACTCCTCGAGCTTCAACTTCTGCTCTTGCATTTTTCAACCTATCATTTATAAGTTTAAGCGCATGAACCTGCAATAAGTATACATTTTCATTCTTATTTAAAATTTAAATTTTGAAGATGTCATTCATGGTACCAACTTCCTTGTTCTTCCTAACTGTTTCGCTGTCTGTCTGTTTTTGAAAAAAAACTTACTTCGCAATTTTCCGAACCACTGATACGTGGTCCAAGATCCGTAAGTGAATGTAGCAACAATCGTGCCCTTTCCTCCGAGAATTCCTCAAACTGTCCTGCCGGCTTTATTTTGGGCATTCGATTATCCTGATAAACAACAAATCCATAGATCCCGCCAACAACTATCAAAATCAATAACCAATGTCGAAAACCCAAATCCTGCGACTTCTACAATTATATGTTTTGCTTTTCTTTCGAAAATATATGGTTCTAAAAATTTGCAATTAAAGAAAAAGGGATCCAGAAGTACTCCCAATTTTACTCATTTTTAATCTATCGAGAAACAGTTCAACTTTGGCGTAGTAAATTGGAATTAGGTAAACATATTACAGTAATGAAATGTAATAATACTTCCAATGTGATTCTATAATGGCTGATGCTTTATCAAAACCGCGTTCTACATCTTACGTTCATATGTCTGACATTTCCACGTGAAATGATTACAAAGACCCAACTAATCGATACATCAAAACTTTTGTTGGTTAGACCTAAATAAAGAAAAAACCGCATAAGAAATGAAAACAAAGAAACCTTATCATAGGCTTTAACATCTTTCGCCACATTCCTTCTAGTCGTACTTCTACAATCGTCTACATCTCGTGATACATTTCGTTGGCGTAATTCCATTCCTTTTGCAATTCAATTTTTTAATTAATTCATTTCTTAATTGTGCTTGAATCAGTAAACGAGGAGAGTACAACTTAGCAATGCAGAATGATCGTAGAATTACAAATACTGATTCATATTTTGTAAGGTAAATAAAAAAGGTAAGAAAATAAAATTATAGCAAACTGATAATTATAATTAACTGCAAAAAAAGTTAATGCAGCAAAGATATGCGGAAATACAGTAACAGAAGTCCCTGCAAACGATATCAGAGGAAACTGTAGCGAAATATATTGGGAAAAACAGACACAATAAAATAATGTAACAACAAAAGAAAAAATTAAAAAAAGATATTGCAAATCTCGAAAGAAAAAACTCAGAAGCAAAAATTATTGTTCAATACAATAATGCCAGTGCTATATCCGTGATACTGTAAACTGATACTACAACTTATACTGTATGAAGAAAAAGAATGGTAAAGTAATATACTATATAAAGTAATATGCGTACAGTGCAAACGAATATTACAAAAAAAGAAAACGTTTGAAAACTGTCTAAATGCCGAGATGAAAATGATAACATCTGTGAATCTAAGTGACCTATATTATTATCATTATGCTCATTTTAACCTACATTATACGAACACTAATCTGATCGAGTTCGCATAACAATGTAGGTTAAAAATTTGTTTGAAAATTTTTGTGACGAATGTAAATTAAATCGAAGAATCGTTTAAGATATAAAATAGAATTCAGTAATCGCTAATAGTCAACCAATTATTAATCAAACCCAAAATCACACTGCCCAAACAATACGGCAGCAAAAAAAAACTCCAGCATCAATGCTTTTATCTAACGTCCCTCATATAGGCCGCGATATGATTGAGTATACCGCCAGATATGTGTTTTGAAATTTCAAGTTAAAGAAATGACTAAGTTTGGATTGTGGAATTGCAACGGACGTGATGGATGTGTTGTGTGACGATATTAGGCGAATATTAATGAAATAAATAAGATTATAAGTTTAAATTTTCACAGTATCTAAGAAATAAGAAAACTAATTATGAAAGTAGGTGGTAGCAGCAATATCAAAGATACGATACGGTATGGTTGAGTTAAGCAATTGTGGTAGATAAACTTGTCAAGATTAGACATATGCTATAATTCAATTATTTCAGGAAGCAGAAAATGTTATGGTTGGATAGAAATAAAGTTTATGCGAATTTTGTTTTATAATGGATTTCATGCTTGCTTCAATTCATTGATGTGATATCTTATTGTCTTGATTGGTTGGTTTCACTTTTGGTTTTCACTTGTGATAATCTTAACTGGTGTATGTTGAAGATAACTTTAGCGATGTGCGATCACGCATAATTATAGCGGCTAATTTTCTTTTGAAAAATAACTTTTTTTTAGGTACTAAAATGGTCCGAAGACGTTTTATGTCCAAAGGCAATGCAACATTTGTTGACGGATTGGATAAAACCGCCTTGAAACAAGTAAGCAACTCTAATAGCGTATAATAGCATGATTTTGACTGTTGGTCCTGTTGAAAATTAAAATCGGATTAAATCAACTATATTGATACTTCCAGGGTAAAAATAAGATTTTAAAAATAGGCGAATAAGATGTTTTGTCACTACCGCTCGGGATTAATTGATGCGTAGTGGGGAGATATTCTGATATCTTTATTAATTCAAAAATTTCAATCTTTGTTAATTCATGAATTAATTTGAGATGAGATGTGTAGCGCTTTATCTGCATTCTTATTGACCGGTTGTTGAATAGTGAATCTTAGATTGAGTGGATATATTGTCATATCATTAGCATAGTTCTGATTTTCTATCATTTAATACTCCGTTATCCAAAATCGTGCTTATAAAATTTTACAGTATGTTAAGCAGAACCTTTTATTTCGACGTACAGCCATGCTCGGTAACATATTAAATGATGTATTGGATCATGAACAAGATTCTTTGCAACCTAGTTCACACAAAATGAAAAAAAAAGGCGGACGACGTCGTGCTAAACCTATTGATCGAACGAATATCAGTGCAGAAGAGCTTGAATATCAGCGTTTACTCAACGAAGTTTGTATTATGACTTTATGATGTCTTATTACCACTATGCGAGATTAATCATTTAGAAAACCTCATAACGACGGTTAGGAGTCATTTTTTTCCCATTATTCTTTCACAAGAAAGCGATACAATGTATCTTTAAGTCAGAGATCTATCTATCTATCTATCTATCTGTATATATATATATAATACTCCTGCATATGATGATGATGATGGAAGGTTTGGTCATGAATTAGGCTAAAATATGAAGTTATTAGGGGATTTGATCACTTCATATTTCCAATTCATTTTTTTAATCATTTGGTTAGAGCTGAAATGTTTTATTTGAAGCAATCAGAGTAAATATGTTTGATATATGGTACTGTGACTTGTAAATATGTTACTTTGACTTGAAGCAATGAGAGCAAAAAAAATAAATATGGTAAAATATGTTTGAATGGTCGGAGGAACTTGTTTTTTTTCAGATTAGAGAGGCTGAGGAATACGAACTTGTCGTTGAACGTGACAATAGCAAGCTTTGCGAGGATGGTAAGTGATATAGAATATTTGGTTTCATTTGGTCATTTAAAATCAGAAGTTTTCATTGCTGTTTCCTTGGTTTTATCTTTTGAAAAACCGAAGTTATATAAGGATATTACCGAAATTAAGTTTGCGTGATTGATGGTGCCGTAAAATGATGTAACACCCTGCGAAAATTTGGACATTTGTGATCTTATCATGTTGTTTACTACTGAAGCTTATTCGTGGAAATTCTCTTAATATTTCAAAGCGTTTTACTTTAACTTATCGATTAAGTTGAATTATTATCCTCTGAAAACTCTATTCTCTAAATATTCGAAATAGGTCGGATCTTATAAATTCAGAGGATATCTTTATATACAGAAGTCTGTATTTATCCATATATAGAATGATGTTAATAATATCATTTGCTTATATTTAATTGAATATTATTGTTACTTTAGATTTCGAGATTCCATTGTGCATTGCACGGATACACTAAATACATGTGGCTGACCCTGGAGTTTATTTTTAGGATAGGACTAGTATTAGGAGCATTCTGTGTGCTGGGGCTTATTTTTCATATCTTTTTTTAAAATTTTATTTGGTGAAAGTTTCTTTTTTTTGGAGAACTTTTCTTTAATCTTATATCTTGGGAAAAATTTCATTAATTTTTGTTCACCTTTCAACGAAAAATTCAATTTTTGGTGAAATATTTTTCTATGAATAAAACAAACATTATGCTATAAAATTTTGAATGGTTTCATGGTTAAGCTGTAATGCCAGTGATGTGATTCCTTTAGGTTGCCTCATTCCAGGCATCAACTTGTCAGAGAGGAGCAAATCACAGACACAATCTACAACGAGCAAATTCTCCAATAATTTGTCGCGTACTTCAGACAGATTATCAGGTTTCTAGTATTTTTATAATTTTGGCGATTTTTTTATTTGCGCTGCTTAAGTTGATTTTGTATTACGCAAGTATTGCTTTAGGGTCTTTTAGAGTAAATAAATGATGAGGAAGAAATAAAGAAAAGTAATGGGGTTGATGAAATATCAAAAAATAAATTATTAGTTATATTAAATATTAAAAAATTGATGAAATTAACCGCATCTTATTATCGGCATTGCTTCTCAGCTAATTGTTTTATTTGGTAACCTTTCCAACAAAAATTCGAAGCTATTTACAGGATTTGGGAACATTTATAAAAAAGTGATACAAGAAAATAAAGTGATCAAGGGAAACTCCAGCAAGCTAAAGCATTCTACTGGTTTAGTGCTGGAAGAAAATGAAAATCGTTGTGACATTATAAGATCACCTTTGATCTTCGTTGTTCATCCATCGGAGCCAATAACGTCAACTCCTCTTCAGGTAAGTTTCTGTTCACTCAGACGATAATTTATTTTATAAATCCGACTACTTCAATCTGCAAGTTATTCAGGCCACTGGATCTGTGGACACACCGCGTTTTCGCCAAAATATGTTTAAATTTGCCGAAGGTGAGCAGTTGAGTCCAGTAATTCTTGACAGGAAAGACGTCGTCTGTGATAGTACTGAAAAGGCAATACCAACAACCTGCTTACGGTAAATTGATTTCCTCATGTTCTTCAAAAATTTTCTTTTTCTGTAATGTATACCATATTATAGATCTGCAAAACCTAGTTTTGATGAGAATGAGGAAGCGCAAAGAAAATCGGGCGCAGAAACGAATAATTGTAATCGGTCGGGCAATGAAGCAGGGATTTTGACAGCGCTTCAGAAAACATCCCCTCAGCTTACAATTCTTAACTCACCTGGTCGATGGGGGTTCCAAAATGAAGTAAGCGTTGCCAATTTTGTATGTAAATTTTCTTTTCTATTTCCCAAGATAATAAAATCAGTATTGTCCTTTTCTAAAGCAATTATTTTATGTGTTAAAAATCGTCTAATAGTCTTTCGACCTGTTGAGATAAATTATCACAAATATTTCTGTGAGTCGTGTTTTTTGGATATATTGTATTTAATGTTTTTTTCAGGAATATGTGTGCGAAGATGTCACGGTTTGTGCATCCCTGCAAGGTAATCTTCCAATAACAATATATCGAATTAAGGCAGCAATTTTACACACTTCTTTAAAGAGGTCTTTTCTCAGAAAACAGAAATATAAAGAAAAAACAGAAGCTGAAAAGATAAGGCCTGTTTAAATGTTGGAATCTGAACATGATAGACATAATGAGGTTCAGAAAGAATTGCTTTGATTGGAGCAAGAGCAAAGCAAAAAGTGGTTTTAAATAATTCTTAATATTTAGGAGACTAGCCACTCATTGCATCATTGTACTGTTATTCTTTGCTCATCGAAAACTTGCGATTGTTTCTGAATATTTAGCCGTTATTTTGCTTCATTTTTTGTTTATTATCATACTTTGCCTTGTAAAATTTTCTATAATTTTTGATTAGAAAAATTTTAGGTGATAAGAGTCTATCGCTGTGTGATGGTTCTGAGGTATGTTTTCTGATTTTATTTGAATAAATTTATTTTCTTGATACTATATTTGTTAAGAAATTACAATTATGAACGAAACCCTAAAACTTGAAATCGTAGGATAGAATCTTAACTCTTTTATCTATAAATAAAGTAATATTTTCTTTTGTTAACATGTTGAAGGGGAAGTAAATTTACATCTCATTTTTGAAGGATAATAGACCATTCTATTTAAATGGCTTTCCTTGGACAACACAGTATGCTAGAAGGCGTAATTATAAGCAAGAACTTTTCCATCTTTGCATTCAAAAAACTATTCAGCCTTGGCGGCTCTCAATGCTGTAAGTTATAATATTTCTGTTAGCATAGTTATTTCTGAGGGAAAATCCAGTCTTTATATTGGATTTTATATGTTTATAAGAAGACAAGACTTATGCTTTCATAATTTGTTTTATTTGTTTATTGTCTCCAATGTTAATTTCAGTGATTTATCGAGTCCGATAAAGCTTGGAGAAGGAACATTCGGCGAAGTTTTCCGAGTCAATTACAAAGGGGAAATTGTTGCGCTCAAAGTGAGGTTTAAACTGCATGTCGAGATAATTATTTGTTTTCTTTCCTGCACCTTATTTCTTTTGATATTTGTATTTAGGTGATTCCTATCGGTGGTACCAAAATTGTTAATGGAGACAAGCAAAAATCATTCCGCGACATTACCGCAGAACTAATAGTTTCGAAGGAATTATCAGATCTGAAACACGCTGAGGATGGTTATTCCACGCAGGGCTTTATTCATTTAAGAGGAGCTATGGTTGTTAAAGGTAACTTTTATAAAAAACGCTATATATATATATAGTTATTTCATAATCTGCTCAAGTAATCAGCATTATTTATTCTTAAGCACAATTTTCTAGGATCGTACCCAAAATCTTTAGTTACCGCATGGGAGCATTACGACAAACGCATGAAGTCCGAAAATGATCATCCGTTCATTTTTAGCTCTAGTCAACATTTTTTACTTTTGGCTTTCGAAGATGGTGGAATTGACCTGGAAAAATATGTGGTATTTTTTATTTGAATTTTTCAATAAAAATTCTCTGGAGTGACATGCCAGACGGAACGGTAATTGGAATAATGGAAGAAGCAGTGCATAATATTGTTACTTATTAGAGGATAGTGAATATGTATTTTAATTTTTTAAGAAAAAACTGTTATAAAAAATATTAATTTGGAAGACTTCGTTTATTAAACAAATTTATATTTTACAGATTGCTAATGTTTCGCAAGCGTACAGCATTATTTACCAAGTCCTTGTGGCACTTTCTGTGGCGGAATATCGACTCTCATTTGAACATCGTGACCTCCATTGTGGCAATATTCTCATACGAAATGTGCAGTTTGATGCCGCTATCAAGTACGTTCTTATATTAATAAATGGGATCTAAATCCATGTTAAATTTGGATTTAAAACAAAATGTTTTTAGAGCGAATTATAATGGTACTGAAGTTAGTGTTCCTACGCACGGTGTGGAAGTGAAAATTATCGACTTTACTCTTTCCAGAATGTCTAAAGGTCGGTGAATTATACGAAATTTGAAGAGAACTTTAAGGAGTGTAAATTCATCTGCCTGAACTTCAATTAAATTTCCTAAATCTCTTTTAAACTTAAACTCTGAAGATGGATAAGCTCCAGGAACGTCAACGATTTTTTTTGATTTGGCAAGAGACGACGAATTATTCACAGGTGAAAATTGTTTACAGTATGAGATCTATCGTGCGATGCGCATGGTGAACAAGTAATAAATTTTCTCTTTGATTCTTTTTAGCCATTGCTGTGATAGAAACACTAAATATTCTTTGCACTTTCTTAAAATGCCAGCTAGTTTTTGAACGTTAGTCGATCTTCGGATAAATCTTATCGAATTTTCGCTTAGGCGAATTTTTATACACTTATTAAATCTTTGAGCATTTCCTCAGTCTATATTTTTTCCATGATTCTAACAAAATAAAAGATGACAAAGGCTTATTTGTCATTTCAAAATTATTAACTAGGAACAATTGGTTTCCTTTTTGTTCTGTGACAAATGTGATGTGGTTAATATATCTCGTACGCTATTTATACGACAGTATGGATGAAAAGAATATTGGTAACCGGAGTGAAAGGAAGAATTTCATTTACCATTTCAAAGATTTGCATCGCTATGGTGATTAACTTTGCGTAAATATGAACTATTATTTTTGTACGAAATTATAAGCGATGAGTAGAATTTCGTCAATGTAGAGCAATTTCTGATATATATTTATATAGAGCCAAATAAACCTATGATTTTAGTCATTTTTTGAGATCCAGCTGTTTTGTAAAATTTCGACATTTTTGATCATTTTATCATAAACAAATGCCCTTTTTTGTGAAGTATTCAATTTTAACAGAACATCAGTTTGTTTCAATTTGAATTCATTACAGGCAGTCTGTCTGAGTGGTTAGCAGAAAAAGCCGATAGCAAAAATGATTTTATAAGAATTGTCAATGAAAATTATCAAACAACGGAAGTTTAAAATTAATGTGATTAATGCCTTATCTATTCATGTTTTAGTGTAGTATTAATTATCACTGTATAGCACATATATAATTACGGCGAATATCATCCCTTCAAATTATGGGATCAAAAATTTTCTTCTCAATAGATTTTGATGTACTCATTATCTTTTGATGAATTTTATTTTGTCTATATTACGGCATTTCTTTGTTTTACAGTAAAGTATGCGTTCAAATTGGCGTACGAACTAGTTCTTCTTCAAAATGAAGTGATGCAAATTGATATATTACCAAACTCAAAACTTGTTTTCATTTGTACAAATCGCCTATTTCTAATCTTCAAGCTTTATTGATTTACGAAACAACGAGAAAGGAGGATGTTAAATGGAGCGAATTCTGATATAATTCATGAATTATATTTCTATTGTTTATGGTATGTTCTGCATCCTGAATTTTTCTTGTGTGATTATTCCAGTAAACTATATATTTTATTTCTTCTATCATCTCTAATTTAGTGCGAAGGGTATCACGACTTTATAAAAGGTTGAGATATCCGAAATATAGAAGTTTCATTTCATGTCAGGCGCTAAGATTTTTGCGAATGATTAGTACGCTGGTCTATTTTCCTGCACTTTGTTCTGTGAAATACTTTGGTGAACAATTTTGGCAAATTGAAGTAGAAAGTCACCATAACTAAATAAAAGAAACATAGAATAAAAAGTAAACAAAGCATGCAACAGGTAATAATAATTAACCTCCTAATAAAGAGGAAAAAACTGAGGAAAGATTCTTGTAATCGTTTCGAAAGGAACAGCAATTTGGAAGACCGGTGGCTTTTTTTTCCACTTTTTATTAAATCAGATTTCATTCCTTAGAAGTCAGAATGTGATGCATTATACATGTATCGTTTTGTCGAATAAAATGGTTTGCATCCATGCAGGATGTATTCCTGATCAACGAAATTCTGCAAAACAATAAACAGTAAGTATATCTTTGGTAATTTTTATCTTCCAGGGACTTTTTATAATGATCAGGAAAATTATATAACTTGGTATCTATCCGATGGACGTGGAGATTTAAGTTTATGCTTTTCATTGATATACTAAATATCAGATGCGTGAAAATTCAGCACCATTGTTGCAGAAAAGAAATCCTAACACTAAGCTGTTTATGATTTTTAATATTAAACTTAAAAACTCACCACAGTGATAAGAATTAACTTTTGTAGCATATGAGAGAAAGTGTAGCAATTACTGGAATGATTTTAGAAATTTAATGGTAGATGAATGAAATTTAAAAAAATGATAATATGAATTGGTTCAAAGGTATGATATATCGTACTAAAAGAAATGGTAGAAAATTAACAATTTTACGGGGAAATCATTTTTTCACGAAAACAAACAAAACTTCGTTGCATAAATCTCCGAGCTAAAGGCTATATCAACGAAAATTACATTTGCATTCAACTCCACGTGTGAAATTCTGGAATGAAATGCAGTAGCAGGATTATTCGATAAATATGTTAATGTTATCATTATCAGTAGTTTCTGATCAAATAACTATTCGCAATTTTGTAAAGCTATCTAAAGATAATCACAAGGAAATAAACGGAATTATAAAAATTAAATCCCAAAAATCACAAATCAAATTTCTCCAAACAGATAGATAACAAATAATAATTTACGATACTCCGTTAGATGGTTAGAAGTTAATCCCAATCAACAATTTTTAAATTTTGTGCTAATGAAAGAAGAAATATTTCTGGATAACAGAAGAAGGGTTAGTATCGGACTTTGATAATACATGTGTTACCGATGCCAACATTGTAATATGGAAGCAATTTAAACACTGTATATACCAAAAGACTAGAAACTTCGTATCACAAATATTGAAAATTACAGTATATAGAAATCATCGGAGTAATCTATTATTGGCGGAATAGTTATCATTCAGTGATTCAACTTCAGCTATCAGCTTATTGCTACAAAAAGATGATATGGTAGCAAAAAAATTGTGGTAGCAAAAAGATTTAAAAATTATTGAAATCCGGGAAGTAAATTCCAAATTGGATATTATTACTTTACAACTGTTCATATTCTTTTCTATTCGAAATCTATCAAAACGAATTAAAGTTATTTTTCATTTATCATGATTAATAGTTCAAATGAAAATGAAATTATGGCTATATCAATGGAATTTCTTTTATTGTACAAAACAGAATGAAACATCAATAATATAAAATATTTTTCTCTATAAGCCCAATATTGATAACATATTGATAAAGAAGAATAATTAAACAATAAACCGTTTTAATAACTCTATTATATTATTTACCTCTTCAATAAGGTACTTTTACGACAAAAAATATTCAATTTCGAATCTAAATATAATAAAGAAAAAATTTCCGCATAATTTTGTAATATATGATAAAAGAATAGATCATATGATCTTATCAATTGGCTTTTAAAAGCATTGTTTTCAATAAAAGAATGAAGAGTAAAGAAAAGTGAAATTTAAAGTTAATAATCATTTAAGTGATAATCGCTCAATATGAAATTTGAAATGGATGTAATACAATTCTTTCAACAACAACGATATAAAACAAAAAATAACTAATGATCATAGAATGCCATAAATTTTGTATATAAACAATAATAATTATTGAAAAGTAGAAATATATATTTTGGGTATTAATATTCATTCAAAAAATGAATTGAAGTAGTTCATAAATATTTTATCGTCAAACTAAATATATGAATAAGCATTTTATTAAAACAGAAAATCATTCAAAAAAAGACGAAATTGATTGGAACAATTTATGATGGGATCAATATGAGATCATATTTGTTATCATAATTGATCAGAAATGATTATTTAAATCTTAAAGAAGACATTTACATACTGAATATCATATATGAATGAAACAAAAGATTTCAATAGTTTACCTTTAATTCTTTTTTTTCAATAATTTGCCAGGAATAAAAAGAAAAACAGTTGCAAGTTTTTAAATGAAAATTATTCAATCCTTTGAAGTTTCATGAAGCATCACTTTTTAATTTGACGTTTTGCATAAGCCATATTACTATCATAATACATCATTCCTCCTTATCATCATATTAAGATAAATCCTAAAATTTGCATAACTAAGCAAAATTTTAACAATTTATCACTCTCATTCATTAGATTGTTAATTAATTATAGCAAATTAACTAAAAGATTTGTAGGATGTTTGCATAAATTAATAATGTTGTAAATTTTGAAAATATTGACAATTTATGAAAATTTTTGGTTTCGTATTATTTGCCTTTTTGCGCATTTGTCCTTTTTTAATTGAAATAATTATTGTGTAAGTTAAAATGAGAAAAGTTTGAAGTAAAATATAAAAAAATAAGCTAAATTTTCAAAACAATGGAGAAAAATAATAAATTAATGAATAAAAATTGACTTCAACTCAACTGGAAGTTCAACAGATTGCATAAAATTTAATTGATACCGTAATACAGCAATTGATGCAAGATTTTTCAGCGTCCAATCTAAAGAAAGAAAAATCTTTAATTAACCAATTTAAAACTTTCCTATTTTCGAAACAATAAAAATCTAATCAATTAAAAGATAGTATTTTTGTTTTCTGTTCTTTCTTGTCCTTTTTCTATTTGCATATTAAATTATTTTAAAACTTACTGTAACTTAAAACATTGAGATCACACATTTCCATTAAACATCCAAAACCGACATTTCCAGTAAGTGAAACAACGGAACTTAAAAAATAGCAATAATTTAAATATAGAACAAATTAGTAATAATAGTCTAATGATTGGAATTTTTCACTTTAATTAATATATTTTATACGCAAGTCTTAAATTAGATATTGTAAATATAACTGATATACATTAAGTTATGGCATATCTTTCGGCCACATTAAACTATATAAAATTATTCCCAAATATTTATTCTATCTTTTTAATTATCAGTATCAGATTTTTGAAATATTTTTCTTTCAATATTCAAAATAATGAATTAGTTAATTTTTTTGATAATAATATATGGTAAAAATTTGCATACTGCTTCTATAAAATGCATACTGTATTTATTAAGATATGATTTATGCTCTAATTAATTACATTAAAGCGAAATTTTTTATGAATTAACAATTCTTACGCTAAACCACTAAATACGTAAACGCAATCGCCGACAATAACTGCACAATGGCGTTCTCGACCTATCGGACCGCTTAAACCAAATGGTTTCATTTCATGCCATACTAATGTTTTAGGATCAAATCGATGTAGTGTTGTTATGTAATATTCACCTCTATAACCACCAAATATGTACATCTTATTGTCATGAACCCCTGCAAATATTTAAGATATCCCGGTCATTTGCTCTCAGATTTTTTTAAGTTATTAAGTTGTAATATTATAAGCATGCATCGAAATATTTAATTCTTAAACTAATCAATAAAAAGTTCTCCATCTTGATTGATTACTTTAGGGATTAAATATGCAAATTTTTTAAGAAGAAATTGTTTTTCTTATTGGTCATATCAGAAATGCAATATGTAAATATTTAGATAAGTTACAAAAATTATTTAACAGAATGATTCGCATATTTTTCAAACCTTTTAAATTAATATTTAAAACAAACAAGAGCATGCTGCACGTATTCCACATGGCTTCTGACCTCCTTCATCCAATTTTTCCCAACAACTTTTTCGTAAATTCAATACATCCAGATATAATTGTCTGCGAGCTGAATCAATTCCACCATACACATACATTTTTTCATCGATTACACATGCTGTATGTTGAAATCGTTCTGGTGGTATTTCACCCTATATATAATTTCTTTGTTTTTCATTTCCATTTTCAGTAAAATTTTATAATTTGAAAATTTAGAAAAATAATAAAATTTTGTACATATTTGTTATATTTGACATAAATTCAATTTAAGCATACTTAATATTTGTAGAAAAATACATTATTAATTAATTATCAATTAAAAATGAAATAATTAACTTACGTGTACAATTACGTCATACCATTTTCTTGTCTTAAAATAATATGCCCAAACATCATTGCGTAAACTAAGCATATAAATAATCAGCGATAATGTTTTTTTATCATTAAATGCTTGTTATCATTAAATGCTGCTTGATAAACTTTGTTTAATCGAACGAAAATATGGTTATCATAGCTTTCCTCTAAATATATCACAATTATTTTTAATTAATTAATTACATTGTTCGACCATTCGTTCGATCACTTTCTATGCCACCATAAACAAGCATCATATCATTA